ATAATTAAGAAGATACTATACTGTGCAGAAATGGATAGATTGACATTGAAATTTAAGCAAAAACAGAGTACTATCAAACATTTTACCAGTAGTTGGAAAAAAGAGATTGAGATTAAGAATCTAATCAGCATTGTTAAGCAAATTAAATACCCAGACAACATGTTTATTAAGCACTAAGAAATGTAATTAATAAAAAAAATCAATATATATTTTCTTTTGCGGAAAGAGAATCTTTTGAGTCAAAAGAAATGGTTATTAACAATGTGAATATCTGCAAAGAAAAACAATGCCGATGCCAACAGAACAGGAGGCTTAAAAATAAATGTCTTGTGTGAGAGAGACGAGGATTCAAAACTAAAATTGCAAAATTGATTCAGAGTTATCTAGGGTGAACAAAGTAGTACAGGAACCTCATATCAAATTGAATTTGGTGCAGCTGCCCAGAACCATTTCCTTTACAGAGAAAGCAATACATTCATTACATCCAGACAAATAATGGAAATGTGTTGTAAAGTTTATAGCAATAGTCTCCTAAAACAGCATGCCTAATTTCTGAGGTAGCACATGTCTCCCATCTATATTATGGGAAACACAACCACTTTTTAAAATATGTTTTTCAAAGTTGGCAACTTTAAATATGTTTTAAACTTGGCTGGGGAACTCTGAAGTCCATATATCTTAAAATTGCCAAGTTTGAAAAACATTTGATTTAAATTAAGTGTGATCTCTCCCTCCTTGACTTCCGAAGCTTACAGGTTTAAGTAACAAAAGAGGAGTGAGTGAACTCTGAAATAAGGACTCCATTTTGCTTTAGGGTTGCCTCTGGAAAAAAGCACCTTTGGGACAACCATGATTTGGATGACTGAGAATCCCCATAAACATTTAGTGGTCTCCTAAGAGCCTTGCTGGTCTTCAGAGCTGACCAGTTCCAGATGTATTCAGATGGAGGCTGAAAGTTTTGTGCATTTCAAGGACTAGCTGAGTCTATAACTCAACTTTGTGTGCTTCGTATCTTAGTTCAAACTGTGGCAGCCTCTTTGAAAATATCGCCCTTCATTTGGAATTGTTGTTATCTACTTTTAGACTAGAATGAAATTATGAATTCAACTGTTTCCTACTTAGCTCAGCTTGATGGACAGAGAAAGCATGCTGGATTGCTATTAGAGATATGTCTTTTTAATCATGCATGCTTGCTATGGAGTATATTTATTTTATAAATTTATTTTAGATAGGTTGGAACTTGCCACATTGATCTGTGTGTCTGGTAACTTCCAACTTTGATTCCTTTTAATGTGACAGGTATGATCTGAAACCTTCAATTATATAGAAAGCAACTGCCTATACCTTGTAACAGCAATGGACAGGCACGTCCTTCATTTACATCAGAAATCTTTTAGATCACTGATGACTTTTTGCTTCTGAATTCTAGGAACCCAAGACTCAAAAAGTGAGTTGGTTTAGATTATACTTACCCATATGAACCCATAGACCAAATCTTGTCATATCAAGATTTTTACTCTTTTGTGTTTGTTTGTGTGTACCTTCAAGTCAGTATTGACTCCTGCTAACTGCCTGGATTAGTGCTTGTACTTTTCTTGGCATGGTTTCTGAAGTGGTTTGCCATTGCCCCCTTCTTAGGGCTGAGAGAGAATGACTGGTCCAAGATCACCCAGCTGGCTTTGTGTCTAAGGTGGAATTACACTTCTAACCTGGCACCTGAACCACTGCAGCAAATTCTCTATTGATAGAATATAAAAAGTGAGAAAAGAAAATATAAGAAAATTAAAGTGTTTGGACCAAAGATACTTTTTAAAAGGGGCAACTGGACTTTCTGTTTTTCTTTGAAGATGTTTCACTTCTCATCCAAGAAGCTTCTTCAACTCCGACTTGATGGTGGGGAATGAAACGTCTTCAAAGAAAAACCAGAAAGTCCAGCTGCCTCTTGAAAAAAAGCACTTTTGGGATAACCAAAACCTGGATGATTGAGAATCTCCATAGACAAAGTGTTTGGAGTGACCATGTAAGGATTTCAATTCTGAATGTGATTTGAATGAATGGTGAATTATTTAGAGGTTAGCCAATGGAAAAATTGGCTCGCCATTGAGGTAAGCTAGGAAGATCTGCTGATGTGATTGCTCTGCAAGCAGTGGCTTGTCTTGCTGTAGTTCAGTGGTGCCACTATTTGGCACCAAGGGGGATGGGCTCTGCCTTTTGTTCTTCTGAAATGCCTTTGCCTTTCCTTTACAATCAGAAACAAGGACATGCCTTTAAGGCAAAAATGATATACAGGGCAGTTCCAGGGCCACATTCATTCATTCTGAAGGGACAGTGATGGCAAACACAGGACAACCACTTGTGTTTCACCAAAAAAGTAGCAATGCAGAAAAGACAGTCAAGAGGTAGGTAACATTTATGATACACCTGAAATTTAGAAATAATTACCATTTAAATAGAAATATAATAAGAGAAAAAAGTAACCCAAGCGAATGCTCAATCTGTCTTTCAGTTGCCAAAATCTCACGAGCAATTTCTTATGCCACTTGTGTTTTTACCAGACTTAGTTTGGAGCTCCCTTTAGAACAGGGTTATCCAACTTGAGTCATCACAGCAGTGACCCATGATAAAATGGGACTTTTTCCCCCTTCGTTAAACTGGGTGGGGGTGGGGCCAGCATGTGACGCATCTGGTCTGTGAGCCATGAGTTTGATACCCCTGCTTTAGAGTGTCCCTTGTTTTTTTGTTTTTTAAAGGGAGGGGAATGATACTGTATCTGATATGTAGCTGCCAAATATTTCATTCATCCTTGGGAATCTTTCTGACAACTAAAGTTAGATATGTAGTATCAAGGGTGAGGGCCCTGAGGGCCCCAGCTCATGGAATTATCTCAACGAGACATGGCCAGGTGGCCGTATTAATCCATTGACATCATCCTGAAATAATCTCCTTCTTCCAGGCAAATCTTGGAGACATCTAAAATAATGTCTCATTATGCCAGGATAGTACTTGTAGTTCCTATTATATGTTAATCTTTTTTTTTCTGTTTTTCCCATTTTACATAGCTTTGCCCAAAAACATTGTTATCACATGAAATAGAAACAAAACAATGCATAGAACATGAGGCAACTGTAACCCCATATCTTTCATTTAAAAAAGGTAATGAGGCACATGATTACATTCCTACAATAGTGCAAGTGGGAAACTGACAGGTAGTTGTAGTCCTTTGATGGTATGGGAACACCAATGCCCATCTTATCACCTCCACTGACCTCTTGTTCCAGTAAAGTCCAGTTAAGTGGACTAACTCAAGTTAGATTATTTTTCTATTTCTCTACAACTACATCCACCTTAGACACTTCAGTCTTATTACAATCAATAGGTTCTTCAGACCCAAAGAGGAACAAAAACAACTTCCACAGGAAAATAATTTTATTAAGTATTTTTCTTAAACAACTACTTAACTTTTACTCTGATAAAAATATTTACACTCTACCCACCTTCAAGGTTCCAAAAATAGAAACACTCTATTTCTCCCGAGAGGAAGAACAAGACATTCCTCTCCTTAAAAAGAAAAAAAAAAACAGGAATACATTCATATTTCCCACTTTCTTTGAACTCAAGTAGTTTTACAAATAATAGACTTCTGAAACATAGAATATGCATATGTACACATTTATAATAGATTTTTGCAAAGAAAGGCAACAACTGTGTACAAAAACTGCAGGTTTCTTTCAAACCAACAATAAAATATAAATGGTCAAACACAACCTGTAATTGAGCATAGTGCATTCTAGCAGTTGGTGCAATAACATAAGTGAAAATCAGAGGATAATAGGACCTTTCTCAAAACAAATTACTAATACCAGCATTTCACCATTTGATCTTTCAAAACTTTAATATTCAGAATCACGGTGGATTGTTCTTTCCTACAGGATGTGTTCCATCTAGGGTCAATTTACAGGTTGGCAGTTTTTCTATTGTGCTGTATTGTTCTGCTGTCCATCTTCCAGGAAAATGGCAGGCATCTCCCTTGCTCTGTCATGCTCCAGCAACCAAGATGACAAGCAGGAGGCAAAGACCACAATCCATGACTCACAATTCATCCCTGGGAGTGGCTGTGGCTCTTAAGACTGCAAACTAAAGAATATCACAACTAAAATCATACCACACACTTTTTTAACCACATAAGGAGGAGGTGCTTCCTCCTTATCGAGAGATTGTTGCTCATCTGCTTCTTACAATCTCTAATCCAATTTCAATAACCAACCTTGGCAGTAAATTCTTTTCAAAAATGTTTCTTATACTTTTCTGCCCTTATTAGAAACTTTAGTTTTGTAAGAGAATTTCTGTACTGCCCTGAATGGATGAATGTGTGTGGGGAAATATGATGTACACACATACACACTCTTTCTCTCATCAGCTTTCACTTGTCCAGTTTTTGCTATAACCAAGAAAACTGTCTCTGGTTCTAATATAAAATGCTACACGCAGATCCCTGCAGGTCTAGGAAGATGCTGAAAGGATATGTTTGAAATGGCTCTGGATTTGCATAATATGGTCATGTTAAGGGCTACTACCAGTTATCTCAAAATATTCCAAGTAAGGCCTCTGTTGTGTCAAATTATAATGTGTTTTATGGTGTTGATTTAGATACCAGTTTATATTAGCATTCAGAAGAATGAAGCTATATATGTTCAACTACAGATATGAAACCACTTTAGAATAGAAAATATATTTGATTATTTTCAGGCAGTACAACACTTGGGGAAAAACTGAGAACTGAGCAGACAATAGGATTCTACTATACTTCACAACAGACTTCGATTCAGAGTAACAGCCATTTCCGTATCAAAGTAGTAACCTGATGATACTTGTTAGTCAGAAGTGGACCAGTAACTAATTACGGTAGCCAATGTCCTTTCCTAGAGAATATCCCAGAGGCTTTTGTCCAGAAATTAGGAGAAACAATATCTGCAATAAGGAAAAGAAAGTATATGGTCTGGGTTTTTTTTTTCCAAAATGGCTTCCTCAGAGTAGTACCTATCTAGCAGCTCAAACTAAACAAAACTTCCAGACAGTATTTGGGGCAGAGGAAGGAAATTTTGTTGAGCTGAAATAGGCAAAAAACTAGATTCAAAATCTCCCTGAATTACTTACTATGCTTTACTAGCCAATGACTGTTACTGGAAGGATTCATAGCAATGCTATAATAAATGTTATGTATCTAGATGTTAAGATCTCAGATATTGGTGGTGCCAAAAAGCTACCGAAGCCATTCTATCCAATTCTGAAGTTTTGCTTCTCGAGATCATTACCTGAAAAGTCCTCATCAGACACACCAGATTTTTCTTTCTGCACATTCTCTAAATCTGTTTAATCTTTTTGTTTTCTTTCACAGCTTCAAAGTATAATCCTAGCTGATTTAAGGTTTTTCAGATAGCTGAAAGGTAAAAGCATATCCAAACATTTTAATGTAGCAATAAAACACACACCTGTCCTTTTTTTCCACTAACTGGGATGCATCTTTGAAATCTTTTCTAGGACTTGGACACGTAGCCTCCCAAATACAGTTTAGAATGGGGGAGAAATCCAAAATAATTTCAAAACTCAACCAAATAGAGCAAGAGAGGCTCTCCTTGTTTAGTCTTTGGTTTCCAGATCCAAAGGAGACATCTGCTTCAAAGCTTGAAGAAGAGCTGTAGAGTCCATGGGGGAATGGGATGGTATAGGCGAGGGGAGTCGGTGAGGCAATAGCAAAGGAGAAGACATTTTCTCTGGGTTCATTAACCCTGAAAGTGCTGCAGTGGACGTTGGGAGGCTTGGATACAAGATAGGCATAGAGGCTGGATACCAACACTTCTCCAACATAGGCAGGTAGGCTGTCGCTGAGGGAGGGAAAACATAAAAAGGCAAACAGAGGGGAGGTTGGTGGGGATGAGGACCTAAGAAGCTGTTGGAGGAAGAGCCAAGCACATTATTACTAAAATGGTCTTCATCCTCTGACATGTCCATCCTGGTCCGTTTTGCTGGTGGATCCTCGTTTTCTTGCTTAATAGAAGTGATTCTCTCTTGAGCAGCGTACTTCAGCTCCGTGTCCTTTTTAAAATACTGTGGATCGGATTTAGAGTCACTTTTTTCTAGCTCACCCCCATATCCACTGTCTGTGTCTGTGTCACTGCCACTCTGTTCTCCACTGGAGTGGGCAAAAGTCCTCTGAATCACAGGCACACAGTTTTTCCCATGTGCCTCAGAAGCTTTGGTCAGAGATGGAGATTTATCCTTCAGATCTGTAAGCTTTGGGGTGGCATCTCCAGGCGTTCGGCTGATTCCACTCTGCAGAGCTTCTGCCATTCTGTGCAGGTGGGTCATGAACTGAGATGATTTCAGATCCTTGGCATTTTCGTGCTTGGCCAGGTATTGTAACACTTCTTTGGCACACATCTGGAACCCAGACCGAAATATCTCTTGGCTAGATTCAAGACTCCGTGGTGGCAGCTTATCTGAAAATACATTAGTCACAAATTAACCTGACACACCAAAAAGATTTAGTGAACATGAGAATGTAAAGCACCCCTAAGAAAGTTTATTTACTGAAAAGCCATTAAATCACCCCAGTTTCCTTCCAGGTAAGTATGCACATGGGAAATGCTTCAGAAACTTGGTTGTAATGGGTTAATTTACCTGTGTGTCTAAGGGTGAAATCCATGTTTTATTATACTTAATTAAAAATTATCACTTCAATGGAATGTCCAGGTTTGAAGTAGGGGAGAAGCAGCTGAATAAAATTAGTTCTTTGTCAGGGTAAGTCTCTATTAACAGATCAGAATAGGGTGAAAATAAAGTGGAATGAAAAAAGAATCCTTTATAGGATACTATCTTGTCAGATCTTTTTAGTTAATGGAAAACCGAAACATCAGAGTACTACAGGCTTCAATGAAAGCAGGCACAAATCAATTTAACTACATGCAAGAGCTTCTTACATTAACCTTGTGTCATTGCACATTTTGCCCAATGTTTAAACATTTAGATTATTTCATTAGATGGATCTGCTCCTTCATATGGTCTTTTCTCCATATTCCTGGAGCTCATTCACAATAACAAAAGAAAGGGCTATCTGTACATTGCTAATCATCCACGCAGTAAGCAATCCTAAATGTGAGAGACAGCAGGGAGTTCTTGGCCCAGCAAGTCAATTCTTCATAATATCCCCCTTTCCATGATTCCTACTCTTGTTGTTACATCTAGAACATCTTACATGAGAAATTATCACTGTTAATGTGGACAGTCTATTTATGCTACTGGTAGTAGTATCCAAATAAAGGGCTCCTTCAGTTATAGAAGAAAATATTGGGTCAAAATATAAAATAATATAAACTTGAAAGCAATTGTACTCAACTGGATGTTCTCTGAATTAATTGGGACTGCAACTTCCAATGTACATAAAACTCTGGGAACTACCACCCAATAAATTTCAATGACTGCTTTAAAGGATAACAGAATATAGCTTGAAGAAGCAGACTTAAAGAAATAACAGAGGAACTTCTTGACAATTTAGAACTGCTATAACTAATCCAGATTTCTAGGCTGCTGGAATATAAGAAAAAGTCCTTTTGATCTACAGACAATACATGGTTCAGTAGCCCAATCTTTTTCTTTTTTAAGTGTTCGGAACTTAAATAAAAAACTCCTCCTGAATGGAAAGAACATAAGTTCAAAATCAAAAGGCAAAGACTGCCAAGTTTCATATTTCTTTCTTTTAAAAAACTGAGGCAAGGATAAATTAAAAATCCTTTACCATGAGAAGTTTGTTGTAATGAGCAGCACTATTTTTTTAATAGAGGATTTTGATGTGAAAGGCATCTGTGACTCTAGGAAAGGTGTTAAAGGCAAGTACTCACCGGCATGTAAACCTTTTTGGAGGGCTGTGATCTGCTGTTGCTGTTGTTCAATAAGACCAGTTAATGCTTTGACATGCTTCAAGGTAAGTTCAAGAACAACCGCTTTTTCTAAGTGTCCTAAAGTCTGAAAACAGGAAGGGAATGAGTTGGTTAGTTGAAGGAAACAGAATGCGGGAGCAATATGTCCTGGCAAAGTATGGGAGGAAATGAGCAGGGACTGAATTAAACACAGCATGTTCCCAATGATATCCACTTTTATGCTGATCAAAAGCTACTTAAATCTACCCTGTGAATAAGCTCAATAAGAGGAGTTACAGGTATGTTTATATAATTATTTCAGGTTAAAAAAATGAAGAAATAAAACAATATTTTACATAACTAAAGAGGAAGTGTTTTTTAAAAACAATTCCAAAATACAAAGCCCAAATCAGCACTCATTTTTCAAATGGAAACTGATGTAACATTTTCCTTATTTTTTAACAGTGCAGGCATGCAGTCCTATCTTATCACAGAAACCTAACAGAAAACATGAAACTTTTAAGTTTCAAAGTTCTGGAGGTTTTTTTTTTATAAATTAGAACATGGAATTTGAAGCAACAATATAGTAACAGAGAAAAAAAGGGTGCAATCAAAGCTACCCAATCACTCCAAAATAAATTGTAGTCTCCTATCAGATTTAAGGCATTGTATATTCTGAACCTCACATGCAAGTTCTTCAGAATTACAAGACCAAGTATTCATAAGAGGCACAACACTGCAATGCTACCCAGACACAGCCCTTTTCACTTTCATCTGCAGTGACCAAGGAATCCTCTAGATGGCGCTTTTATCCATACAAAAATCCATTCAGCCTAACCTCTCTGAAAAGGAAGACAAGTCTGGACAGTGGCCAGATTTCTACTTACTGTAAGTTTGAGGTGTTCTGGTAAAAGGTCTTTCAGCTGGGCAATGCATTCATTAATCCTATCACGCCTTTTCTTCTCAATCAGCCTGTGAGGCAACTTGTAAGTCTCCTGAAAGGAAAACAAGAAAGGGGTGCGGGGACACACAACATCACTCAGAGCTGGACTGGTTTAGATAAAAAAAACTGAAACTGAATAGAAGATAGAAACATTTTATTTGCAAACAGAAAAATTTCCTGAACCAAGATACTTTTCTGGGAGATAATTACCACAGACATGTCCAGGAAAATACTTTCCAGCAACACTTCTAACCAAATGGATTTTCATAGTATGAGGCTATTAAAACAATTTTATCCTTTAACCACCCCCTATCCTGTACTCCTCCAAACTTGTGCATTCTCTTCCCCAAGCTCTTTTAAAAGCAGAACCCCAATACTGCACTAAAAGGGGGGGCAACTGTCCTTCACCCCAGCCGGGAAGAACCTGAAGCAAAACATGCAATTTGCATTTACCTTACTGTCGTCTCCTCTTTTTAAGCCTCTTCTGGGCTTGTAAACTTGATACATGTGAGCGAAGTCCAACCTGTTGATGACAACAAGAAGAAAATATATGTTTTGTTTTTTTAATAAAACGATGTTTTAACTCGCCGGTAAGAAGGCGAACTTCCCCTCTTCTCCCAGACGGCTAGCGCAAGACTCGCTGTCCTCCCGAGGAAGGTCTTCGGGGCCAAAGCCGGGCAGCCAAACCGGGCGATTTTCCCTTGGAAAGCAAAGCCCTTCGGCGCGCGCTTCTTACCCGGACATGTCGCCACCGTCGAGAGCAGCCAGTTTGCCTAGACAAGCGGGAGGAGGCTGAGCGCTGGGGATCCTCTCCATTGGGGTTTCGGCTTCTCCGAAAGCTCGCTTGGCACCTGGCCGGCCGGAACAGCCTTTTCCCACTCAAGAGGAAGCCAATGAGAAGACCCGGGATTGCCTCCCGCCTCAAAGGAAGCCTCCGTACGGGAGCGAGCAGGGGATGCCGAGGGCTTGCGCCGAGCGAAATCAAGTTGAAATCAAGCTGCGGCGGCTGCTCATGTCCTTCCCGGCTACCTGGAGCGTCGGGCTGAAAAGGGGCGCCCTTGCGCCGGCGAGCTTGAGAGAAGTAATTGGAAGGCTGCAAGGCTGGGTTAAATGTGAGCGAGGGGGCGGAGGGGAGCGACGCGTTTTACCCTGTGACTCCAGGCACGTCTGGCTGCTACCGGAGGGAGGAACGAGCCTCGCCTCTCCCTCCCTCCCCGCCTCATCACATGAGCCTCACGTGTTGGCCAACGCTCCAGCCTCTCTGCTCCCGGCCACACAAGCAGGCGGGAGTGGGGAGGAGGGAGGGTGGAAGCGGCGGCGTCTGCTGCTGCTGCTGCTGTTGTTGTCGAAACGTGATGGGGCGATCCCTCGTTTTCTCTCTCTCCCCCGCCCGCCACCCGGGTCGCCGCCTGTGCAATGTGCGTGGTCCGGATGCAGGCAAAGAGGGAAAAGGGAGGGAACCGCCGCGTGGGTTTCCCTCTGGGACTCAAGGTCCCCGCGGCGACGACTCGTCCTCGGCCCCGCGAGCCTTCCCGTCAGCGCGGGCGTCCGCGTGCTGTCGCGAAGAAGCAGGTTGGATGTGCTGCTTCTTGGGCCAAGGTGTCTCCCCCGTTGTAATGAACCCCGGGCACAGTAAACCAAGAACGCCTGTCCCCCGCATCCCCGTTCCCAAAGGGAGGAAGATAGAGAGAGAGAGAAAAGCAGCCCAGCCCTTTTTCCCAGGAGACACGGGCAGTTTTTTGAGGTACATGGCGGGGGGGGGGAGGGGACGGGACCGTGCTTCCCCTTCTCTGGCAGGTACACGTTTTGTATAGAAGGGGGACACGCGGTATCCGTGCAGCAAAAGTTCGCAGGATTGCTGGTTTGATGGAAGGAATTCCTCCCCCACAACCACTTCTCGGCAGCCACCTAGTGGTGGTCTACATTTTTGCAGCCAAAGGGATGGCAGGCTGTTTAGCTGTGCCACAAAGCTCTCCAGGAGTGAAGAGCAGGGCGAGGCCTGCTGTTTTGGCTCCAGAGGCGCCAGGTATCCTGTGGCCCAGCGGGCAGTGCAAATATCTTCCTGGTTGTATGGTGAGTCAGACCCCAAAGTACTCCTTTCTTTACTGTGACAAATGGGATTTGCAGGAACTCAAGGGGCAAAGAGTGGTAAGTGTTCCCTCGCTTGTTTCTGTCAGGAAAATTACACGGAGGGAAGAGTTAAAAAGCCTCACCCGATGTCTGCCTGTCTGAGAATGCAGCTCCTGTTTTCAGCCTCCCTGGCCTTCAGCCATGTCAGCTGGGAATTCTGGGTTTTCAGGGAAGCCCTGGTTGAATCAGGCATTCCCCGCAGCATATTTGAGTTGAATGAGGACGTCTTTTCCACAGAAATAGGAACATGAGCTAACTGATGAAAGACCTTATTTGGCGCTAAAGGACCAGGGAGAGGAGTTCATTTGGCCCCAACAATCTTACGATGCTCGTACAATGATTGTAAGAATAATTTGTAGTTAAATCTGTTCAAAATTAAATAGTCATTCCCAGTCAGAGACCGCTGCAAAGATAGTTTGATATTCGAGGGAGACATGATAGTTGAGGTGACTCTCAGAGTTTGCCTGAGTGAAGAATCAAAGGCAGTAAATGTTCTATACACATTTTCTATGAACAGATAAAAAGTATATCAACTGTATACCACTGCCTTGTGCAGTGGGTTACAGTTAGTACAATGCCCACTAATGACCCTAGGGGTTCATTATTTATTTAAAGCTTTCAAGTGAAAATTATTCCAAAAAGGTTTACATCAAAGTACAGAAATATTGTATGCCCAGCCCAGGCATTCACTTTCAAAAACCTATTAAGCTATATTTGATATAGTGATTAAAAGCACTTGGTTAGAAACGAGACTGTGAGTTCTACTCCCTCTTTAGGCATGAAAGTAGATTGGGGGACGTTGGGCCAGTCACTTTCTCTCAGCCAACTCACCTCACAGGGTTTTGGCAAAAATAGGAGAAGGGAGGGGTATTAAATATGCCTTGTATTTATATATAATAAAAATATTATAAAGCAGCACCATATCTGAGAAACCTAAGAAGCCTGGGTTCAGACTATTTGGTAAGTATGGATGCTAAGCATACCCTGGTCACTGACAGCTGCTGGCACCATACTCTCAGTGGATGTTTTTCTGCTAAGAAAAAAAAGCAGAAGACATAATGGGGAAGAAGTAAGAAGATTGGAAGTGGAAGAATGTTGCCCTCACTCGCTTCCCCATCCTGTAGAATTCTCTGAATGGGTTATGGCAATTGCATAATGAACCCCTGATCTGGAATGAGAAAGTCCCATCAAACTTCATGGAACTGAGTCAACATACATCGGATTGAATGGTATTGCTTCACATCTCACTTTAAAAATGAAGCTAATAAGAATACTCCAGAGCTGTTATGAGAAGGAGGAAAAATTAAACCACATTAGGGTCAATGGGGCAGCTTAGTACATTTTAAACTCTAGTCTTGTGGGATCCTAGTTTCTTTTTCTAAAGATGTAATATGATTTACTTTTGTTATTTCAGCATCAAGTCAGATATTTGCCATGATTGCACCTCAGTGAGTGTGACCTGGACGTCTGTCGCAAATCCTGTCTTGTGTCATAGGTTAGATTAAACAACAAACAGCAATGATACGATTCTGATAAAGGGGAATATTTGTAACTCATGGTTGAATCAATAAGCTCAGGGAGCACCAAACATACTGTATGGTTGCTGTTTCTTTGCTAAATACCAGTCATAATGGGAGGACGCCCCTATTATGGTGCCCAGGCTATCTGTGTACCAATATGAACATATCCTTCGTAGGCCTGATCTGAGTTGCTTCTTTCTCCCCAATCACTTATGGTTGCTTATCTCAGTAGATTATTGTTTGCTGTGTGATCAAGTATTTGATGATTGCGTTGGTAGGAGCAATGGTCTAGGTCCAGCAGACAGATCAAGTTGGCTGCACCTGGCTTGTGATGCAAGTCTTAATGTTATTCATACTGAAGGAGTCATTCAGGGTGGAGACAAAGGCAACCATGAAAATACTTCTCTTTTGGCAGGCTTTCTGTTGGAAATTCCCAGAAGCAATAAGTGAGGAAATAGCTAAAAGAAGAAGACGCTGGACCTGGTGGTGAACTCTGCAAGAAGCTGGATAGTGTGGAAGAACTTGTGTCAATGAAGGACCCTCAGATTTGTTTTCAGAGCATCCTGAGTTCAAATCTCAATATTAGATGTCTTTTATTTCAGACCACAGAAGAGGCAGTTGTAGCTTAATACGATTTGTCTGACATGGTCTAAAGCATTTTACTGTGCAGAGCTAGAAGCTTAAAACTTGCATGCCGAATCAGACCATGTTTTGAAAGGCATGTGATTCTTGGTGTGATTGCTGAGAATCAGGATGTAAAGTAGTTGGATAATCCACAAAACATGCAAGAAAGTTCCCAGGGTAACTCATCAAGAGGCATGAGTTTGCAGCATCCTGTGGATGAATTTTCTTTCCACTGAAGTCAGTGAGGTTAATCAGGGATTATTGCTAAAACCAAAATACTGGTGATGAAACCACAGTACAGTGATGTGTTCCACAAGACCAGTCGACTGCTGCCAGAGTTGCTAGCTGATTGAGTTGATGTGGTATTTGAGTACCACATTGATTTTATTTCTGTACAAATCTGAGCCTCTAAGGAAATCCCCGTGGAGAAAGCAGGCAAAAAAGGCAGGGGATTTTTTTTTCTTTTTTTTCTTTTCCTTTCACATACATTCATCTAAATCTGTAGGCTCTCTGCTTCTTTTCCTTCCTTCTTTCTGTATCTCCCTTCTCACTCCAGTTTTCTCTACTTCCCCCACCCCAGACATCTAGAGGACTCTTCAGTTCTGTGACTGATTTCAAATGATAGGATAGGATAGGATAGAATTGAATTCTTTATTGGCCAAATATGATTGGACACAGGAATTTGTCTTTGGTGCATATGCTTTCAGTGTATATAAAGAAAAAATAAAATGCATTCATCAAGAAACATAAGATACAACACTTAGTGATCGTCATAGGTTACTAATAAGCAATCAGATCATATTAGGAAACCTGGAGTTGTCAATTTGTCAACCCATCAGCAGTGCTACTAATGTATACATTGGGAGATACATGGCTGTTCTAACCTTTTGTAAAGGGACTGATGAAGGTACTTCCTATAATCCAGAGTGGGGCTCTGGAGAAGAATAATTTTATTTGCCTTATCCCATCTTCATTTAAGCAAAGATGACAGAACTGCCACTTGGGCAATAATTATATACCCACTGATGGAAAGAAAGCCCCACTGACATTTGTGATGATACAACAAAAATATTGGGGCATTTCTTACAATTTTTGTTTTCCAATGTTAAGTATTGTTTCCAGGTATTCCAACTGGAAGTATTTTTTTTAGTAGCAATTTTATGTTGCCAGGGCTACTTGCAAGCAGGTATGCAAATTGTGCCAGGCAGAGAGGTGCTATGACACAGGGAGCACCAAATTAAGTTTTAATAATCAATTCTCCATTCTGAACACCAACTGTCTCTGCTCACTTACGTCAGATTTCACTTGTTCCAAAATGACTGCTGTGCATCAATCCAGAAAAAAAAAAACCATATATATTGAGCAATCTGAAACTGTCAGTGCTGCTAACATCTTACAGTGTGCATAATGTTTCAGTTCCAGCAAGGTAACAAATACGACTTGTGCCAAGTCTTTTGTGCAGTGAAAAAGATGTCTTACAGGTCAGCAACAACCCTGTAAATTGCTATGCCTTAATTTAAAAAGTAGCTTTAAGTGTCTTCGGATGCCTTTGAAATATCTTCGCTACATCTTGATCCTATGTGATTCTGAAAGTGCTCTGGGATAGTATGTTAGTCATGTATTTCTCTCCTTTTCATTTTCTCTAAAGTAACAGTAAGACCCTGCACTCACAGAGAGCAAAGCTTAATCCTTTTTTTCTCTAATTATCTCCTTCATGAATCCTCTCTCAAAATCTCAATTGACACTAATTTAGATCACCTTTTTTTTGTGTGGGTGGCAACTTTTAAAGAAAGAACTGATCCACAGTGAAGGATTTAACCATTCTATCCCATATGTTTACTTTAGGAGTAATTAACCTAGCATGTAGTTTACAGTAGTCCTACTGTTAAT